CTCTGCCCACCAAGGGTATCGAAACCCGGGTTCTAGAGTTGTAAGTCCGCAAACATACCGCTGTGCCACTCGAAATAGTATTTCAAATATTATTGTAATTACACTACGCTATGCAGATCGTAACAAAATGTGAAGCAGCTTGACGAGAGCAGCCAGAATATGTTATGGACATTAGACCGAGTGTCACACTACAAAAGACGACACTCAATTGACCTTTAGAATACCGTTTGAAGAATCATATTATCTTTGTTACTATATTTAGATGGAATGATACGATTTCCAGTTTTTCTCAGAGTTTAATAGCTATGAGTTAAAGTAGAATGGATACAAGTAGAACACATTAAATAAATATCCAGAGTTTAAATGCATATACAGTTCTTTCTAGAACTACGTTTGACGAATATTTTTGTAGTACGCTACACAAGTAGCCAGGCTATAATAAGACACCATGAAATAGAACATTAATTCTACTTATGTAAACAAGTTGTTTATTATTGTAAATTGAATACGACAGTCCTTTTTCGTTCGGACATACAACTTGAATGTTTTCATATGAATGTTGAATGTTTTGTGTTAAATGTGGAAAACAGTCTTTGAAGTAGATTGTAAGTTAAACTAATATATACATAAGCATGAAGTACACTGTACAAGTAATTGAACTCGAATAACTGAAATATTAATTTTATGTATTCACAGTTAAAACAGGGCTTAATACTAGAAGGGTTCCTGAAAGTGTTCTGTTTTAAGAGTAAATAAAACCAAAATTAAGAGTAACAAACATTTTTATTTATTGTTTTGAAGTTGTGCTGTGTTTTAGCCTACAGAATACATAATTCCTCTCGTAATTCATGGCACGCGCACGTTTTACTGACGTCACGACAGTACAAATTGCAACGTTAAGCGGCCCTTATGTGACGTCATTTTAGTATCAACTGACTGACTGACAGACAACACATTACTATATTGTGGTGCGAATGGTTAAAACAGGTAACCACTCCAAAAGGCCCCCTTTCGGGAAAATGACATGATAAATTTAATACACTGTTACTGTCTATTTTTCCATTTGGACAAAATGTATCACTTTTAGTTTATATGATTCGAACGAAAATATCTAGAGTCAGAACATCCTACATATAAAGCGACCCCTAGTTGTCGGTTTCAGATCTACGTAGATTGTATGTTAAATGATTGTATGAATGTGATATATATTTAGGATTTGAATGTTTTTGCGCTAACACGAAAGAGAGTCCTTTCTAGAACTATATTGCAAGATAAATGAATGTATGCGTAAACCATGAAGTACGTATACAAATATTTAAACTGTAAAAACATAAAATATTAATTTTACGTATTCAAAGATTTGGTTTGTTAGTGAAGTGATACAATAAAGTTGACCCTAACGAGATCGCACATGCCAGTCATCATATCTATACTAGAAATATGGATTCATTTCATTGCTTCCGTCACAACTTTCGACGGAATAAATATGAATACAAAAGCATCAACTACCCAAAAGCTTTTACTTTGGAACAAACATTGTTACATCCGCCAGGTGAGAAACAGAAAAAAAGTTTCAAAATGTTTTACAAAAGTCTCAAGAACGGGAGGTCACGTAACGTCATAGTTCAACAAAGAGGCACCAGAGGGCCGTTAGTTCCATACTGGGTTGCTAGATGGCGGATTCTTCCAAGACGTAGAGAATGGGTGCTGAGCTCATTGGCGGAGCGCGAGAAGATGCCTTATTATGTAGTTCGAAATCAAACCACCAGATGGCGTTATCGATTATCAAGCTGAGTCGTGTTTTGCAAAATTACTAATATAATTTTTAATGCTATATTAGTTTCGTTATCATTCACAAAAACTCCATTATCAAAGTCCTACAAATATATACAGGGTTTAATAAAACAAAGGAGTTACTCCAAGTTGTGGTGTCTTTAAGATTGTAAACTGCGGCTACGTGGTGATTTAACTGTGTATTAATTATTGCATGACATTGGAGGTGTCTGTATACAAACAGTTTATAAGGATAATGACTTTTTTCAGGGAAAGGTTATAAAAAAATGTGAACCTAAAAGGTCTATCAGATTTCTAAAGAACCACGATTGAGGCGAGTATCTAGCTGGATCGTCAGTAATACGATTACCTAGAATATTGAATTTATCCCGACGAACGATATCAATAGTGATGTCAGAATGCATATCGAAAAGTAAACATCATAACGGTCGAAAGAGTAAGTTAGCATATCGAAAAGTAAACATCATAACGGTCGAAAGAGTAAGTTAGCATATCGAAAAGTAAACATCATAACGGTCGAAAGAGTAAGTTAGCATATCGAAAAGTAAACATCATAACGGTCG